AGCCATCTTGATTTCCTGCCTCAGATGAACTTGGCAGGGTTCCAGTTATTCATAGCCTGGCTCTACCTCCCAGGCTTGGGATGAAATGTCTAATCACTTCCCTTTCCTAAAAAGTTTCAAAAAAAAATCAGTGGAAAGGATTCGAATCTCTAATGAAATGGAATTTAATTTCTTGCCCACCCATGAAAACACCAAGGCAAATCTCAGAGACTGCACACTTGACCTTAGAAGGGACGGGAGGGGGGCAGAGAACAATGAAAAGGGTGACACTGACCAAGATGCATTGTACTTGTTCACCGCCATGCTGAATTGTAATCCTTTTGTATAACCACTTTTAAAGATCATATAGTTTGAAAAAAGAATACTCTAGCTTCTCTGATTATATGAGTCTCTTCCAACAAAAGTTCAAACAGGCCAAGCACCTATGGCTCATATCTGTAATCCTAGCTACCCAGGAGGCTGTGATCTAAGGATCACAGTTCAAAGACAGCCTGGGTAGTAAAGTTTGTGAGACTCTTATCTCCAGTTAACCATCAAAAAGCCAGAAGTGAAGCTGTAGCTCAAGTGGCAGAGTGTTAGTAGTGAGGAATAAAGCTGTCAGGGACAGTTCCTAGGCCCCAAGTTCAAGCCCCAGGACCAGCATGAGCATACACACACAGATACACACACACACACAAAGTTCACATGGGATACTTCCTTGAAAGATTTCAGGGTGGCAGAAATGGCTTCTTGGAGGGCCTACATTGAGAAAACCAATGACTTCTATGAGGGTAGTACTGGTATTTGTTTTCTCTCCTTTTCCCTCTTCCCCTTACCCCCAAATACTTCTGCAAGTTCTAACCTGGCATGCTGCTCTTTGAAGGCAAAACTATGACAAATATTCAGATAAGCATACGTTTGTTCTTTGTTGGCAAGGACTTGAGAGTGAGGTGTGTCTCTCTCCAGTATGCAGAATGAATCAATGAACATTTGTTTTTGTGGCAGTACTGAGACTCCGCGTCTTGTGCTCTCACTTAGCATTTTCTGCTCAAGGATGGCTCTCTACCATTTGTACCATATCTCCACTTCTAGCTTTTGGCCAGTTAACTGGAAGTAAGAATATCAGGGACTTTTCTTCCCAAATTGGCTTTGAATCAAGATCCTCAAATCTCAGCCTCCTGAGCAATTAGGATAACAGGCTAACAGGGTTTTTTTGTTTTTTGTTGTTGTTGTTTTGTTTTATTTTGTTTTGTTCTTTGTCAGTCGTGGGGCTTGAACTGTGGACCTGGGCGCTGTCCCTGAGCTTTTCAGCTCAAAGTGAGCACTCTACCACTTAAGCCATAGTGCCACTTCTGGTTATCTGGTGGTTAATTGGAGATAAGAGTCTCATGGACATTCCTGCCCTGGCTGGCTTCAAACTACAATCCTCAGCCTCCTGAGTAGCTAGGATTACAGGTGTGAGCCACTGGCACCCCACAGTTTACTTTTTTTTAATTTTAATTAATTGTTATTATAAAGTCACAGAGGGCTTACAATTACATAAGTCAGGTAATGAGAACATTTCTTTTTCCACAATGTCACCCTTTCCCTTTCTTACAGTTAACAGTTCATTCGTAAAAGAATAGGTGCTGGAAGCTCACACCTGTAACCCAGAGGCTGAGATCTAAGGATTGTGGTTCAAAGCCAACCAGAGCAGGAGCTTATCTCCAATTAACCATCAGAAACCAAAAACAAAAAACAAAAACAAAACTGGAGTGTCACTATGGCTCAAAGTGGTAGAAAAATCTCAGGGATAGTGCCCAGGCCCTGAGTTCAAGTCCCATGACCTACAAAAAAAAAAAAAAGGCTGGCGAGGGTTTGACCTCAAAGTTTTTGTATCTTTAAGTAATTTTTTATTTTAGGTTAAAAAGGGGCTGAAAGTGAAGCTAACCTTTAGTTTTGAGTGCTGAACTTTGTTCTGTCTTAGTTTGTTTTTAGTACTGAGTAGTATAGTAGAAAGGTTTCATTAGACCTGTATTTGAATCCTAGGCCTGGCACATTCGGGGATAATAATGTGTAATTTACAAAAGTGGTGATAGATATAAACTCACTCCTGCTCTAATCCTTTCAGAAAAGCAGAGCCGAGGAGGAGTTTGGACCTGTGATCGTGTCTAGACGCAGCGGTCTCCTGCCTGGACACCTTTTGAATTTTTGTACTGAATGAATGCTATCTGGAATGTTAGATCTTAGGCCTCCCTCACAAAACCCTCCAACATACCCGAACTGTTTTCAGTGCCTTAACCAAACACAATCAGCAGCTCTGAAGATTCCAGAACTGGCAAGCATTTCAGGGAAATTACAAGGAAAATTTATTCATCTTATGATTACTCCTGCGTGGCTTGCTCCGGGAAGAGAACATGAAGGTTAGCTGCAAGCTAGCAATGTACAGAATTTCACAAAACACATGGTGGCAAGGACAGACCCAGTTTCTTTTCTGTTCCTTTCTTTTTTGATTTACAAAATCCATTTTATAAAAAATGGAACCAGATTAGAGCATTGGGTATGGGTAGCTGGAAGGGTTCAGACTCTGAGAGGAGGTTGCTGACATTCTTCCATTCATAGTGATCTTGTGGGGGGGGGGAGGTTACAGCCCTTCTCCTCTCCCATCCCCAATCACGGCCAACAATAGCTCAGCTCAGCTCAGTCATTCATTCATATTCAAGTCCTCTCACTCTTTATACTCAAGACAAACCCCCTGCTAGGCCTCAGCTCTTTGTGAGCAGAGCACCCCCCTTCCCAGCCCCATCCATTCCCTCCTCAGTTGGCTTCTTTCCTTAGCACTGAAGTTTCCAGAATCAAGGGAGGCTGGTTTTCCAGACAAGACTGAATACCACCTGTCAAGAGTACCTTAAATGCCAGGGCCAATGGTTTACCCTGTAATCTCAGCAAGTCAGGTGGCTGGGATCTGAGAATCACTGTTGAAAGCCAGCACAAGGAATCCAGTACACACATTTAAAAAAAAAGAAAATCAGCCAGGCATTGGTGGCTCACATCTGCAATCCTAGCTATTCAGGAGACTGAGATTTGAAGACCCTGGCTTGAAAGTCTGAAACTTTTATCTCCAATGAACCACCAAAAAGCAAGAAGTAGAGCCTCAGCTCCAGTGCTAGAGCGCTAGCCTTGAGCACAAAAGCTCAGGGACAGCCCACAGCCCCCAAGCTCAAGCTCCAGGGCCCGCACAAAAAATTAATAAATAAATTACTAAAATGAAATTAAATAAATCCAAGAGCTACCTTAAGAATTACAGTCATTCCCTGCTTAGTTAACAAAGGAAGTAACTCAGTTCAACTTTCCTGGGGTTTGGTTCAAGTAGGGGGCTCCCTCAGCTTACATGTGAGGAGCACAAAATCATGTCAATGGTGCATCATCCTGCCAAAACGGAAACAGAAGGGATTGAAACACAGAACTGCACAATATTCCACTGGAAAGAGAAGTTCCAAAGATAGGCCTGCCCCCCCCTTCTTACTACCCCTCCCCCAGTAAAAGTGGCTTCACTCCCGTTGAAGCAGACCGCTGGCTCATACACTCTGTGTACTTTCCCCAAGGATGGGGATTTTCTAGGCCGAATTATATATATTATATAATTATATAAGCCTTGCCTGCACCCAACTTCCAGCAGACCAGTCCCTCTCCAGAAAAGATTCCCACAAGAATGAACTCAGGAAAACATGAGAGAGATGGACTAGTGTGAAAAAACTAAGACACAGTGCCTAGATCTTGAGTGTTAAGCTCCAGTATCAGAAGAAAGAAGAAGTAGAAGAAGAGGCCGGGTGCCAGTGGTTCATGCCTGTGAGGCTAAGATCTGAGGATCACAGTTCAAAACCAGCCCAGACAGGAAAGTCCGTGAGAGTCTTACCTCCAATAAACCACTAGAAAACCGGAAGTGGTGCTGTGGCTCAAGTGGTAGAGCACTGGCCTTGAGCTGAAGAGCACAGTGACAGTGCCCAAGTCCAGAGTTCAAGCCCCATGACCAAAAAAAAAAAAAAAAAGCTTTATGCAGGCCTTGCACGTGAGGAAGAGGAAGACAAAGAAGAAGAAGAGGAGTTGAGATTCAACAGCCTCCATCCCTGAAGACTACTTTCTTGCTCCTAATTCCTCCAGTGATATTAAGTGAACAACTCCTATTGCCATGTTTGTTTGTTTGTTTAACCTCGAAGGGAGAGGGGGGAATCAAGGCTGCTTTTGTCTCCTCCTGAGCTTATATTATCAGGAAAGCAGACACAATAAAATCCAAGACAATAAAAGTAATATGGGCAGATGTTCTAAGAGGCCACCCTCACAGCAAATGGGACAGAAAGAAGACACAGAGAAAGGCAAATGATGTGTGTGTGTGTGTGTGCACGTGCACACACACGCGCATGCAAGTGAAAAACCTGTCATCAGATCAACTCCATTAACGACATTAGTTAAGGACATTATTGGCCAACTTCAACCCATAACCCCAAACCCACTTAAACCTCAAGGCTCACGAGCAATTCCCCAGGGCTGAGAGTTCAGCCCTGTGACAGAGAGCTTCCCTGGCATGCACGAGGCCCTGGGCTCCATCCTCAGCCACAGGGGAGAAAAATAAAGTAGAAAGACAGTACACACACACACACACACACAGAAAGACAGTACACACACACACACACACACACCCTCCTTGAAGAGGTTAAGAACAGCCTCTTCCAGTCTGTCCCCTCAAGCTCCCAATTCCGGGGCCCTAGGCAATTCCTCCTACACACTGACACTCGACCAGCCTGGCAGCCTGGCAGCCTGGCCAGGAAAGAAGGGCCCTCTGCTCCCACCCTTGCTGCTTGCGGTTTGTGGAGCTCCTCCGGCCACCTACCCCTGTCTCCTTGGGACTTGGCCCCCACTGAGCCAGCTGCCTCTCCTCCTCTTTCCTCCTGTCCGCTCCTTTCCCCTCTTCTCCCCAGGCCCGGCTCTCCCAGCCGCTGGTAGCCAGTGGCCCAGGGTGGGCAGGCAGCCTGGCGGGCACTCACCTCCCTTTGCTGGGACGCAGAGCCAGGCACTCCCCAAAATCCACAGCAGCACTGGCTTCCCCCACATCTTCCCGTGGATCTGTTCTCTGTGCGGGATGGGGAGGGTCGGAGAGGATCAGAGGCACCGTGAGACACCCTGGCGGTGGGTGCCAGGAGAACAAACTTAGCAGCTGGCAACTGGGCAGCCAGCCGGCAGCATTTATCCTTCCCCAGGAGGAGGGCGGGCAGGGGGTGGGCGTCAGGTGGTCCCGGCCACCCCCCTCCCCTCCCCAGCCCTAGGACCGCCCCCTGCTCTGTTTGGCCAGCTCCAAAGCTGAGAGCTCAGGCCAGGTTTAGAGTTACAGGGCCACAGCTGTGTGTGTGTGGGGGGGGGGGGGGACTGCTCCCGCTAAATGAGTTTTTAATGCCATTCAACAATCAAAGAAAAGAAGCACTTGCAACGAACGGCTGGCTCACTTTCGTTATTTTCTTATACTATACTGATGTTGATTGTGTGTTGTCTATTTTTTTAGTGGAAGCACCGGCGGTGAAGTTCCAGGGGTGTCCATTCCGTTGAGAACCAAGCATAAGATTGTTCCTGTATAAATACTGAATTTGATGGCTTAAAAAAAAACCAAGCACAAACCACAAAAAAATCAGCCAGAGGTGGCTCAAGCTGATCAACTGCACCCATGTGAAGGAGACTAAGCCGGGTGGGCTGGGGTGGGGAGGTCTAAGGGGAGCTTGCCACCAGTCTGGGGGTGGGGAACTTGGCGGGTTGTCGGGGGTTTGGCAGAGTCAAACAAAGGCTGAGCTCCCTATGATTCAAGATCTGGGTGTGACCAAGTCAGATCAGGTGCTGACTTGTATCTGCGCACAGCCTGAACTTATCCCATTTAATCCTGAGGTTTAGATCTACTGCTTCCACTCTGCTTGCTTTAGGCTATCTGAATCTGATCACAGAAAGTGGGTACTGGCAGCAAAAGAACTACATTTGCACTTTTATTTCCTGTTGGGTTTTTTTTTTAATTGAATCAGCATCAATGACCATTGTAAAAACGTGTGTGTGTGTGTGTGTGTGTGTGTGTGTGTGTGTGTGTGCTGCTACAGAGCTTGAACTCAGGGTCTCACACTCTCACTTGGCTTTCTTGCTCAAGGCTGGCGCCTTACCACTTGAGCCAAACCTCCACTTCTAGCTTTTTGGTGGTCAGTTGGAGATGGGGAATCTCATGGACTTTCCTTCCAGAGCTGGCTTCAAGCATGGATCCTCAAATCTCAACCTCCTGAGTAGCTAGGATTGCCAGGTGTGAGCCACTGATGCCTGGCTCACAGTAAAAGACTTTGTCACACTTCTTTGGGTTTTCTAGCCTTTTCGTTTGGCCCATTTACCTACTTTTGTGGCAATTCAGTATGGTCTGAATCAGTCTAGCTTCAAAAGAAACCACATTATCCTGTAATATAAGAATTTGTAAGCCAGTTGCTGGTGGCTCGTGCCTGTAGTCCTAGCTACCGAGGAAGCAGAGGATTAAAGTTTGAAGCCAGCCTGGGCAGAAAACTTGGTGAGACTCTTATCTCCAATAAACTACTCAGAAAAAGATGGAACTGGTGCTGAGGCTCAAGTAGTAGAGTGCTAACCTTGAGCACAGAGGCTCAGGAACAGTACCTAGCGCCTGAGTTCAAACCCTGGGACCAGGAAAAAAAAAAACTATTCTAAGTACATGGTACTAATCCCAGTTCTTTGGTTTTTTTGTTTTTTGTTTTTAGTTAGTGTATATTAATTGTACATAAGAGTTCCACTGTGGGATTTCCACACATACACATATTGTACTTTGATCAGATTAAATTGCTGGGATTAAAAAATAATAATAATATTTAGCTACGGGATATTGAGGAGAAGTCTGTTCCTCTCCCAGATGCCAAAAACCCCATTTAACAAAAAACCTAGAAGATTAATATCATTGTACCTCCCCCCCCACACACACACACATACAAATTCCCAGGCTGGGTTGTTCTGATTTTTTTCATCTTTGCTTTGACTAAATGGGCAGGGAGGAGGTTTAAAAGCTCCGAGTCCTGAGTTCCCCACCAAACTCATTAAATATGATGAGTACTTGTGAATTCCAGGGGAACTGAGGGACAGAGACAACTGGTTAAACCCTACCTTCCAGCAGTACTTAGAGGGGAAAGGGTAGAGGCTACTCAGGGGCAGGGGCAGCTTCTGGGAAGTCAGCAGTGAAGGGAGACTTGCTTTTTTCTTTTTTTGTCATTTCTAAAGATTGCCTAAAAGACAGCTGGCCTGGTCCTGAGGCTGTAAGATCAGAACTCAGTACCTACAGTGAGGAAAGAGCAAAGTAAACTGGAGGAAGAGGCTCTAATTTGTTTAGCTAGCTCTCTCTTCCTGACTCATCAGGATGAATGCTTGTGGCTCTTGTGTTGGCCTGGAGTCTGACTATTCGATTGAGGATACTCCAATGGAGTCTGGCTCCACCACTGAATATTCCAAAGGCAGTGAATGTAGAAACATGTGGATTAAAAGTCTAGGAGCCGCTGGGCACCGGTGGCTCACGCCTGTAAACCCCTACTCGGAAGGCTGAGATCTGAGAACCACTGTTTAAAGCCAGCCCAGGCAGGAAAGTCTATGAGCCTCTCATCTCATAGACTCTTATCTTACTGGAAGTGGCGCTGTAGCTCAAGTTTTAGAGCACTCACCTTGAGCTGAAGAACTGAGGGACAGCGCCCAGGCCCAGAGTTCAAGCCCCACAACTAACAAAAAACAAACAAACAAAAAAAACCCCAAAAACAAAACAAACGCAACTATTCCAGAGACCCATCCCCTTCCCCTTACCTCTGCCTCCCTCCTGGGGATGTGTCTAGATTCTAGACAATTGTTTCCCTGGACTGCTGGCCGAGGATCTAGGGGGGCAGATAGCAGTCCTGTTGGGGGATGGGATGGGGAGTGGGGTGTAGGTTTCTGAGCAATGTTGGTCTGAGTAACTGAAGGGACTGGGCCTGAGGGGACCAGCAATGGCTTCTTCAGCTTCCATCAATGAGAACAGAAGCTGGTCTTAGGCAGAGGAATTCCCAGAAATGGCTCAAAGCCAGACTAAGGCAGCACAGGGGGGATGTAGAAGCTCCCCCTCAAAAACCCAGCCACGGGAGGGCAAGGAGAAGGGAAGGGAAACAGCTTTGTGGATCTGTGACTGACCCTGGGAGGAGGTGGCCTGGTGATGTCACGGTGGGTGATGTCAGAGCCAGGGGCTCCTGGTGAGTGTCCTGTCCTCACCAGGGGCCTGGAACGTGTGCAATCGGACTTGTTTCCAAATGACCTTTGTTCCAGGAAGATCTCAAGGAGACCTGACTCACTCAGGGTTTTCCTAGATTACTAAGACACAGATCACCTGGCCTGCTTGTAACATTCTCATTCATTACAATGGGGATGGCCATGTGGGGCCTGAGAACCTGCATTTCTAGCAAGTTCTGAAGTTGTAAGCCCTCTACCCTGGATGAAGATGAAAGCTTGTCTGCAACATTGTGTCTGCTGGAGGATTTGCTATAAAGTGTTGTTCGGGGAGTGGGCAGAGTTAATGGGAAAGCTGAGCTGGAGCACTGGGTATGGGGACCCTTCATGGTGGGTTGGCAGGGGTGCGGGGGGGAGGAATATGCTGGAGATTGAGGCTGGGTCCTGCCTGTGTTCTCTGAGGCCACTGCACAGTCCAGAAAGCATGGCTGACCTCCAAGCTGCCAGGGCTGAAGGGTCCTCGGGCAAAAGCAGCTGTCTGTGACTGCACAATGAATCATATGCCAGGCTGGGAAGGTGGCTCAGTCGTAGAGTGCTTGCCTTGCATGCATGAGGCCCCTGGGTTCAATTCCTTAGCACCATATAAGCAGACAAAGCTGGAAGTGGTGCTATGGCTTAAGTGGTAGAGCACTAGCCTTGAGCTAAAGAGCTGAGAGACAGCGCCCAGGCTGAGTTCAGGTGACCAAAAAAAAAAAAAAGAGAGAGAAAGGAAAAAAAAGAGTGAGTCCTATCCCTAGGCATGGGGCTGGGACCAAAATGCATCTGGCAAGACAGATGAGCTATGGGTGGTAGCTGTGCTTATGGGGGAATGGGGGGAGGAGCAATCATGGTACCCTGGGTGCCTGGTGGCCTGGACACAGGAGCACTAGGCTTCCTTGAAATGGAAGATTCAATTCTGCATTGAAGGGCTCTAAGCACAGCGAAGACTCCTCTCTGGTCCCTGGGATGGCTTGTCCACTAGGCCCTGACTGCTCTTCAGACTCTGATATTTTTTGTTTCTTTTCTTTTCCTTCCTTCCTTCCGTCCTTCCTTCCTTCCTTCCTTTTCTTTCTTTCTTTCTTTTGGATACTAGTGTGTTACCTCTAGGCCTCAGAGCTCACACTTGCTGTCATGGGCTCTATGTCTCAAGACATGCCTCAGTCTTTTGTTTTTTGAGATTTTTGCTTCAGGAAATCTGTGTGTGTTTGCCACCCAAAGACCCTAGCCCTGTCCCTGTGCTGAGCTCAATCTCCTCCAGCTTTACTACTGCCCTACTCCACCCTGGGAACCTTAAAGAATTGAGCTTGGACAGGTATGTGACTCATACTTGTTAAGCTCAGATATTTGGAAGACAGAGATAGGAGGATCAGGTTTGAGGTCCATCTGGGTAAAAAGCAAAGGGACCTATCTGAAAAGCAGCTCTAGCAAAAGGGGCTGGAGATGGCTCAAGTGGTAGAGTGCCTGCCTAGCAAATTCAGGGGCTCTGATATCAAGCCTCAGTATTGCCTCCAAAAAAAAAGGGAGGGAGGTCCCAAAAAATGTTTCTGGCTATGGCGTTCCACCATGGCCATGGAGAATTCCACAGGCTTCTGAAGTCAGGAACTTGGCCTATTGATATATTCACATTTATATCACTTTCAAATACATATTATATATAACCTATCAGCATCTGGCTCTGTTCCATAATCTTGTATTAAGATTTTTGCCAGTCCCTCAGACAATCTTCACCATAGACCAACCCCAGCCCAGCTTGAGATTCAAAAGTTGGGTCCATGGTGCATGACATACAGTCAATCAGCCTGACTAGGCAAAAACAGAAGCCGCAAGTGACATCTGTGATTTCTGGATGCTGAGGAAGTCCACGGGCCCCTCTCTCCTCCAAAAAACAAACCTGGCTGATTCTACG